TATCACCCATCAAGGTAATTACTTTCAAGTTGAAATAATTACTCCATCAATGTTAATGGTCTTTCAACTTCAATAAAGCACTCACCTGCCGATAATCACAGCTAACCTCTTGCTCTCATGCAATTCCCTCTCTATTTAGCAGGTTATATTACAGCCGTTAGAGTGGTCACTTGTCCTGAACAGCTGCTGAATTTCACTTTGATCGGCTGTGAACCATAAAAAAATTAGTCATCTGTGTATGATTTCCCCCTAACCCATAAGCCCTTGCAGAGCTAAGGATATGATCTTTTGGCTGTATTAGGGCACTGCTGAGCAGCCATCTTGTTTCTGGTTGTGGCTACTTTCCACTCGCTAACAGCAGCACAGTAGCCTAATTAACTTTTGCCCTCCACTACCGTTTACAGCTTTCATTCTTTGCTAAGTAGCACATCTTCTGAATTTATGGCATGTGCAGGGATTCCTCCATTTACTCTCATCTTGTTTTTTTTAGAGTGCAGCCCATTTTCCAGGCATTTGAAATAGGCATATAGAAAAAAGTTTCACCTGTCCCTCTTTTTGATGTATTTTTTCTTATTCCTGGGGCTATGATCTTCATTCCTCCTTTTATAAGGGGGTTGTCATGCACAGTCCTGCATACTGCGTTACTGAATAATTTTATGTACGAGGAAGCTAATAACTACGTGGTGTCTCATCTCTAATGCTACCAAATGCTCACTGGTCTCTATGAGGAAACAGAAATGAACAATCCCACATGAATATATTAAGTAGTTCTGAATGTGATGAATAGAAAGGAACTAACTCTGGATGCAAGATTCCAGATATCTAAAATCCTGCATAGGAGGCGTGTGTATATGGCAGTACTGGCCACTTAAGATTATTTCTGCTAGAATATATTTCCTATGGAGTTTTTCAGCAAGTGGACTTTATTTATTATCTTTACTCTGGTTATATATTTGATATACAAATTACTGTCTGATTATAACAACATAATCATGCAAGCCAAAGCCTCACCCTCCTACCAAAGTCTCTATTATTATTGCTATTCTGCAATATGTCTACAGATTTCCCTACCACAGATGAAGCATCTGCCAAGAGGAGCTCGGCCAGTGTAGCTATATACCATCTCCCCAAATAATGTGAGGAAAGCCAACATGTGTTCTCAACTGTTAGCAGAGCTGCATCCAAACCAAAGGCTTTGCTGGTGCAGTGGTATCAGCTAAGAGACGTGTTAATTTTTTACACCCCAAGCTGACATAGCTATGCCAAAAAAGCCTTGTAGGATATATTTGGCCTGAGCGCCTCATACCGCAAAACACATTGTGAGCAGACCTGTACTTCTAGGTAGGGACAGGTGTAGGATTTCCCAGGAATAAGGCCTCTATATTGTTTACACCTATCTCTTGCATCCTGTAACAAGCACATTGTACTTTTAGTTACACTCTGCTGAGGTAGATTTGACACACCAAGGCCTTGGTTCTCCATAATAATAAAGGGTGTCACTGCCCCTAGCAGGCAGAATTTTTCTTTATAACCCTCATCTCTGGATGCTTTTCCTTCTCCAAGCACATTCTACACATTCTTACATCTTTTACTCATCTTCTTGGCTTTGAATTCTCCTACTCATGACAAACAACCAAATACTCAATTTAATTATCATGGAAGAAACAGCATTACACACCCATAAAACATCTACCAAGGAAAAGTCCAAACTTACCCACAGTTTTACCTCACAGCAACATTTGGAATACAACAGTTAAGGAGCTGTGATGCTTTGATTCCATTTGGCAGGTACTGGCTTTATAATGAAATCAGCTCTGGGTCCTATGTTCATAAACTTAAGCCCTAAATTCACAAGAGTGAGAAGCTTGCTTTGACAATCTAGTCACTTTATGCAGATTTCTGTAAATGTGAATGTACTGTCAATCCATTCCTCTACAAACACATCTGTCTCATGTTAACGCTGTCGATAAGACACTAAATATTTTTCTTGCTTTAGAGGGTTAAAATGAACAGTGAAGACATTGCAGGAGACACTTGTACTGCTCTAACCAGTCTTGACTTGACTTTGCTCTGCAAATAAACCAGAATGTCAGTTTAACTTGCTGTCACCTAACATCTGTCACTACACTCCTGGCCAAATAAACTAGGGAAATAGGTGACACTGCTCTTTAACTGCCAAGCATCAAAATGTCTCACATGTACTTCACTTGCTTCTAACAGTGCAGGGAGATCCTCCTTTCATTTAAGTGGCAGCAACTTTTGCTGTCAGAATTGAGTTTCCATTTTTACCTCCATAGGCAGTGTAAAATTACAAGGGGTCAGCAATAACCTTAAGGTACCGGACAGCCATCAATTCAAATACAGATTAATGCACCTTAAAGGGGGAGTGAATAGTTGCATTTTGGGAAGGTAGAGTGGATAAGTCTGTCAAACAATTTGAAAACCCTGAAGATGCTTCTCATTTGGCTCTAGAAATGGATGGAAACAAAGCTGTCAAATTAGAACAGTCCGCAGGGATATTAGTGAGTACTTAATTTGTATCCTGCAGTGTCACAAGGATTGTATCTCTCCTTTAGGATTTGGTCAAGCTTTATGTCCTGTGGTGGGCAACCAGGAGGCAACTGACAAGAGCAAGGGTGGGACTGGCTACTGTGATTCTACCACTGTTGGTTTTTGTTTTGTTTTGTTTTGTTTTGTTTTTTTCCCGAAATAATCTAATGGGATAAGGATGGAGTCTAACAGATTAAATAAAGGACCGAACTCATTGCTCGCTTAATACTTTAAGTCTTGCTTGCAACATGGAAGCTTGTGTGAGAGAATGACTAATGGTGTATCCCACGAGGGAGCTCCAATAGAGATGCTTTAGGAGATTAAATGATTTAGCCTAGTACCCCTGAAAGCTATATTTTAAAGGGGCAGAAGCTTAATCATTGGAATGCTAGTTCCTTCAATAAAATTACATTTTAATTAAAGTGTCTCATTCACAAAGCTATAGTTAAGGGTTTATCAGCAATTTCATGATAAAATTCTATTTTTAAGGGGTTATAACTTTGAAAGTTGGTGTCCAGGTTTTCACCTGCTGGATAATTGACCTGACCTCCTGAAAATACCTTTGATAACAGGACTTTGTGCACTTTATGTCAATAACTTTGATTCAAAGCTTTAGCTGTTCTGCTACATTAAGAAGAGGTAGGATTCAGATCTCAGCTCCTTGGTATAAATCAGCAACTCTACTGAATTAATGCAGTTGCAACAGTTTAAAGTGAGTGTAAATGATGCAAGAGCTGTGCAGAAAGATTTCTCCCCAAAAGGTAGTATAATATTTAAAAATAAAAAAGGGTAGCAAAAATAATAATCGATAAATGTTCACAGCAAAGAACAGTAGAAAAAACATGCAAGTCAGCTTTGCTGCAACACTAGTAGAACAGCTATACATATGCTGCCAGAATGTCATTTTGATTCAGGATACTGTTTGGGGAAAATAAAGGATTTTGGAGCCAGGAAAATACTAATTCAGTAAATAATAGCTTGTTATAATTTAAAAGGCTTTTAGCTGATGCTGTTAAAGAAACACACTGTGGCAACATTATTTAAAAGGCCATTTTGGTAGGTTTTATTACCCACAATACAACCATCTTGGACATTTTCTGTTGTTGTTGGCATGCTTAGAAGACATTGCAATGCATGACTAGCCAGGTCAATTCTGATGCTCTGCAACACACTGCACGCTGCTGAAGCAGAGTATTAGGAGAAGCCCTGTCATTTCACTGGTTTTGAAATCTTAGGTGTCCCATCACAATTATGATCATGATTATATTTTTTAAAACAAGTTAAGGGAGCTAACTGCCAAAATCCTACTCAAGTTCAAAAACTTTAAATCCCAATCTATTTTTTAGAACCTAACATAACGTACAATGTGAATGTAACTATTTCAGAAGCTGAAAGTATATACTCCTATCATTCAGTTCAGGATCTGTTTTCTTATTCAGAAAAAGATGTATTACAAACTTTATCCGTTTAGGGTTACAGAAAGCTAGACACAAAACTCCTTTGGAACTATATGATCACAAGAGTATGTAAGATTATTGAGCTAGTGTTACTCAATACAAACATGGCCTATGAATATCATTTAGGGAAAATTCTAGGTTTATGAAATTGAGGTGGCAATGCTGCAGAAACCCAACTTTATTATAACCTACTTAAACATTTTTTAATTTTTTTTTTTTAGCAGACAGCCAAGTACAGCAGCTATCCTAATATACAGCAGTTCACTTCTACTATCTATAAGATACCTTTCTATAGAAAGACTAGAATGTAATCTATAGCTGTGAGGAGCAGTGGTAACTGCACAAACCATAACCACTTCTGTCACTGATTTACATAACATTGTTAGTCAGTTCACAAAACAACCTGCCCTTTCTTGAGTCTATCCTTCCACATACTGAATAGAAATGTAATATTTACAGACATTCATGTTTGGAAAGTCCCTTGAAAGGAAAGACATGTTAGCAGTGCAAAGTAACATTCTAATATAAGTACTGATGAATTATAAGGGGAACATGCAAATGCATTGTATATATGAACTATGTAATTACTAATGAATTAATTCACTTTGTGATTCCAACTGAATTACAAAACTAGAATTACATACGAGGACTGACTTTGCTGTTCTTTGTGTAGATTCTGTGAAACTATTGTGAGAGTCAGACAAAAATTTCAGGACCATATTCTCAGAGGGAGGCTGACAAAGTTAAATGCATGTGCTTAATTCCTTCAGACATGACCCATCCATGCTTTGAAGTAATCTACTTGCCTCTATCAGGAATTTGATACTAATGTGAAATATTTCAGTCTGCATTTGGGCCAAACACAAAATTTAAACCAACAAAACTACTTGCAACCCCACTTTTCCAATCAGGGTTAAATGAAATTTTAAAATACCATAGAGATCAAAGCAGAGTAAGAACAATGTAAAATTGCTTTTGTGGTCCAGTTCTTACCATTACAGTTAGTGCAGTAACAGCTGGGATGCTAAATGTTGGATCGCTGCGTTTTTCTTGATAGACTACTCGATACAGAGATATAACACCATTGGGAGAGACAGGCTGGGTCCAGTTCAACCGCACTGAGTATGCACTTGTTGCTTGTGCCCAAGGGGCTTCCATGCTCCCTGGGGAAGCCTCCAGAGTTTGGGTTGAAGCCCACAGGCTGTCCACTGACCCCACAGCATTTTGAGCTCTGACACGATATTCGTAGAGAGTAAAAGGCTGTAAAGCATCGGATGCATCAATAAATTCCAAAGCTCCTTTAGCCCAGATGAACAAAAGCAGCTCTTCTTGAGTGCCCAAAGGACGTCTGAAATTAAATCAAAGGCAACGTGATTAAAATTGAAAACAACTTTAACAGTTCCATGGTAGTAGATCCTGAAGTTCTAAGTTCAACCTGTACCTCAGAAAAGTAGAGAACTGATTGCTATACATTACACACACACACAAGGAACTGCCTACCTATCTTTGCATCTTAAAAACATTTCCCTGAACTTGTGTTAGGTGCTGGTGAAGATGTCATTTTTGAGGCAATCATTTAATTTTTCTCCTTTATCTGGAAGAATATTATAAAGCATGACAAACAAGTGTGCTGTCACAGTCCATAGTAGCAGAGTAGCAATACAATGGCATATTGCCATTTAAGACAGAATGCACCAGATATGAGACTCAGTACTTAGACTGTGAAATTTTAAATCCATAGGTAGTTGCTAATTAATGATGTGAAGTGCAATATGGGTGCAAGTTTTCAGCATTTCTGAAAACCAAACTATTTATGGAAGTACTCACCTCAGGATCCCTCATTTATGGAAAACTTATGACAAATTTATTTGACAAAAATGTTACCTAGTGAACAAGGGATAAATATTCTATGATGGTCTCAAAACCAAAGCTGTGCACTTTTAAATTCTGATTTGCTCACAATAAATATGGAATAAGTAATCCCTTGTGCATGAATTTAGCAGAATTTGCAGCTCCAGCACAAAACTCATTAAATATATCACAAGTAGTGCTTGCTGTAATAAATATTTTTTCAATGCTGTTTTTGTTTCAAAATGTAAACTTAAGATATACAAAGACAATTCACTGTATAGGCTCTTGACAGAATGGGTTTTTACTTCTGTACATAGGTATATATATCTGTGTAAACATACACACATATATATGTATGTATATATAGCATTTCTACTACAGATCCACTTGTGTTGGACCTAGTGATATTCTGAATATGAGGAGATTACAGATGATCCTCAGCCCCTTTCTAATGTGGCCCCTTCTAGTATATAATTTACAATAGTTGTAATAAGGCAAGCACTCATCTTCAAAACAGAGTTATCAAATCAATTCTTTCACTTGGCATAAAAATGTTTGTGTGAAATTAAGTTGGTTACATTTAAACACTGTGATAAATCTCAATGACGGTTGTGCTGTACTGCTCATGAATTTAAGTATTTCCCCTACTCTTCACAGGAACCTTGGCCTTTGCAGAACATAAAAGCACTTTCACCCTCCATGCCAAAAACAAAAAACAAATTACATTATCTGCCACTTTTATTGCAAGTAGGGCAAATTTGCAGAAGTAAAATTGGTTTGTCTGACAACTGGGTGTCATCATCACTACACACACACAGAAGCTGAAGAACATTTCTTTGGCAAAAGAAAATCAGTATTTCATGGAATTCTGTTGAATTGTATTTTATTAGATCAACCCAGGAATTACTTTAAAATACAAAATGAAATAATTTTTACAATTTATAATCTATAACAAGGTATTTACATGCAAATATGAAGAATATAATGAATGCATGTGTATACACAATGTTCATTCATCCTTTGCATATATGCATATATAAGGCATGCATGAATACATTTTCTTATATGAAGCTAAAGAATTTTTGCTAAACTCTGAGATAAGAGACTACATGGACACAGTTTAGTTTAAAAGGGTTAGAGCAGGATTTTTTTTTAAAAAAGACAAATTTTGAGCTACAATATTTCTAGTGTAGTGAAATACACAAATTATAAAATGTGTTGAGCCTGAGAATTGGTTGGCAGAACTGAGTGAAGAATGGCAGGTAGAGCAGGCAGCAATTCTCTCTTGCAACATAATATCTGGAAGAGTCGGGGTACAAAATTTCCCATTGACCTCAATATTCCATCAGCTAATTTCAATGCACTTCCCCATGCTCTATTGTAATGGCAAGTTAAACCTTCTGCAGAACTCTCCCTAGATGCTGTTCACTGACTTAATGCAAGTCACGTAATTCTGAAAGGTGAATCACTACTATGTCTTTCTCCTGCACCTAAAAACATAGTCTTTTTCCTGTGTATTCAAAATCATGCCTAAAAAATTCTCTGTAGGTAAGTGAAAAGAGTATATTTTAGTGCAATAGCCACATTTAATATGTGTTTTCTGGCCAAGCAGTACGGCACTTAAATGAATACACAAATTTATGTGCTATAAATTCCCGAAACTCAGTGATAAACTGTTTTTCCCACTGAAAGATCAAATATGCCACCAACTGCAAGCTCATCCACAAGCAAAGCTGTACAATGTAGTCTGGTTAAGTAGTTAGATCTTATTACTGCTGAATATTTAATGAATGAAACTTATGGTTAGGTAAATGGTTCCATCTGTAGTGCTAAAACCCAGAATATCTTCATGTATGAATAAACTTTGAACAGAAGTGGTTGAACAGTCTGTAATCATTTCAATCGTCTTAAGATTTAAGATTCAGCTGCTCATTTAACTGCAAGTGTTTCTTATGTACAATGAGCTGCAAAGGAGAATAACATTTCCAAGAACTGGAAGCTGTCTCTTAATCTGCATAGTCTGATTTGCTGCTTACATTCATTTTAAAGATGCTCAGATACAGTTACTTTTATAAGGGCAAATTCTCCCTGCCCCACTACCAATCTGAGCCAGATGACATTAAGAGGAGAATATAATCTCCTTTGTGACAGATAACTATAAAGCTGTATGCAGAGGACTGCAGCAACACTAACTGAAACACTCAGCCCTCAGCTTTCTTACATGGAAGGAGACTGAGTGAATCTCTGGGGTCTTGCAGGTCAACCCAGAATTATTCTTCACATGTTTATCCTTCACCACGCAACAAAAGTACATGTTTTAGCAGTGTGTGCTGTTTTCCTTACCAGAGTGGTAGGGACTTATTTCTAGAAACACTGAGAGGTCCTGGGGTAAAATTCAAATGATTGGGGAATCACACTGTAAAATGTGCGGGAATAATGCAACATCAACAATGATTCCCCTCTACAGTTTCACATCCAATTAAACAAAGAAGGCTCACTTACCATTTGGATTCAACAAATCTATTCTAATGCAGTTTGTATATTTTTCTTTTTTTTTTTTTCTTTTAACAAGTTTTGATGTCAAAAAGTGAACAAAAGGAATTTGAGATTATTGCCTATATTGTGCTCATTTTGATTAGGTATTATAATAATTAGGTATTATATCAATTACAGGTATAAATAAAACTCTTCAGGAGTTCTTATTCTTAGTGACATATTCATCCATAAGGATTCTTATATTTAACCATCTACTAATGTATGTGCTTTGGAAGCTGTCTTTGTGCAGCTCATGGTTAAGGGTATAAGGGTAAGCAATGAATTAATCCTGAAGAGTCAGTCTAGAAGCCTCTACACTGCAAGTCACAACAGTCAACAGCCACTGAGATGTGTCCTCTGTCACAACAGTCAACAGCCAACAACTGCCCTCTGTCTTAAACTGCCTGTTAATTTTTCTGCTACATTTTCACCATCAGGATTGCTCAGCTAATACAATCTCACACATACATATATATATATATATATATATATATATATACTAAATAATATAATTTTTACTGAACATGACATAGACACTTTGACAGCAATTCAGACAAGATATAAGCAAGATACAAACCAAAATACTTATAATTTTACAGGCAATATTTCTTTAAGAGTCATCATGTGCATCCTATAGAGTGCACGCTGGTGGCCAACAGAGAGCAGTTCCATTAGCTGATGTGACCTATATCTTATTAAAATACAGCAAGAAATACATCACCTATTTCCATAATATTATTTTTCCAGACTAGCAATTTCTGTGGTTGTCACAGGGATGTTATGCAATGATGAATGGGAAGAGAAGTAGATTGGGTGATTGTCTCATGAACCAGATGTTTTCTCATTCACAATCTCTTCTAAGTCGTGGTCCTTGCTAGAAAATTTTAAAAGCTCTGATATGTGTTTAAAAGTGTTATATTAATTAAAAATAAAACATCACCATTTCTTTCATCATAAACTAACATTTTAATTTTTTGGTTTCTAACAAAATGGCTGCACATTTGCACATGCTTTCATGATTCTAGAGGAAAGCATGAGTCCTGCCATTTTAATGCAAAGATCTGCACACATACTAGCTCCCCAAGCATTCCAGATTTTGAGTTAAATGAATTTATTTTGGTGGTGATGCAGTAAGGAAGAGGCACATGATGAAGAAGAAATTACATGCCATAACCTCCCATAGAAATACTGCAGTCTTGCTGCTATAACAGTGTAAGGTTATGTGTGGCTACAAAATGAAAAAGAACTATATGCTTACATCCCATTTCTGATTTTTTTGCAGCTATCTGAGAAAGATTTGATATTGTTGTTGTCTAAGCACATTTAAACTTCAGCTGAAATAACTGCCAAGTGATTCATGCCTATGTAGGTGAATATAACGATTGTATCTGGAGCCCCAGTGCGCCATTTTCATTTCACTTTAAATAAAAAACAAAATGTATCTATGTCAGTCAGTGCCCTTCTGCTGTACTCAGAGGTATCAAACAGGCTACAATTATGATTGTGAAGTGATTGTGTCACATTGGAGGAAGGTTTATTGCTTTTGAGTCTGCTAGGCAGTAACACATTCTGTTTCATATTACTCTTTATATCATTGTTTGGCTGTGACTAGAATAATCAAATGCCATCAAATGCTGTCAAATTCAATTTACAGTATTTTTCACTGAAGCAGGCTTTCTGCATTATATTTCCTGTTTTCCCTTTCTATGGTTGCCATGGAATAGCAGTGGTAATCATCAGCTTTATTTACAAAACCAACAGAGTGAAGACATGTCTTGGGCTATAACGTACACTTTATTCCTCTTTATACAGGGGAGGGACTTGGGGTTTTTTGATCAGACAATTAAAAAAAAAGTAAAAAAAGAGGATATTTTAAGAGAGCAGGAATTTTTAGAGACTACTAATGTGTTTAAGGCAAAAGTGAATTTATATTAATTATCACTGTTGATTCCAAAAAGTAATTTGATTCCCTGCCTTCTCAGTCACAGCTCTAATATAATAAAATGTCCCAAACTTTGTGGGAGTCTAGGTTCAGCCCAGCGCATATTTAGAGTTGGGAAAACCAAGAAATTTAGAGTTTAAATTCCTCTCCAGTACCTAGCTTGAGTTTTATATTCTCTGACTTTCTGAAGCTAATCAAGAATGTCCCTCAATGAGCTTTTAAAAAAGGATGAATAAGCACAGCACATGTCAGTTCTCTGCTACTGTGATACTTCCCTATACAGTAACAGAATCTTCACTCAGAGCTTATGAAGCTCCTCACAGGGAGTGAGAATGTGTCAGTCAACCACCTAGACATGGCAGCTGAGTACAAACAGCAAGGAACATAATTTATCTTGGGAAACTGATCTATGTTAGAAACCTAGATTTTTTATTTTTTTTTTTAACCTCAGAAATGGTGAATTAGTCTTGTTTTCATTCCAAAATTCTTAACTTTCTATCAGAGAGGACTCAAGAATGTACCTAGTGGTCTGGGTAAACACAATGAGAGTATCTATCTTACAATTTTTGTTTGCCCCTTTGAATTTTTAAAAAATATATTTTCACCTGCTTTTGCCATTTGTAGATCAGGAAGGTCGTTCTTGTCTCAGCTCTTATTCTCAGCTTGTTCATCCATAGATCAGCATATTACCTTAGCATTTGAAAGGTAACATATATTTTATGTTCATTTAGTACCATTTACTTCTACACTTTTTTTTTTCACCTCCTCATATATCAAGGAATAAAGAAATGAACAGTTCAATAAGACTAAGAATCTGAGGTGATAAAAGCATTTACCTGTGGATAAAGTAGTTAGTAATGATGCCGTTTGGTTTCTTAGGTGGTGCCCATTTCACTTCTATGAGTGCAGATCCCATTGCTTTAACAACAGGTGGGCTCAATTCTCTAGGAGGTGCTTCAGCAGTTCTTGAATATATTTGACCACTCACTCCACAACCACCTAGAAAACCAGAAGTTTGCTTAGTGATGACAGCTTCTTCATCAATAAAAAAAAAATACTGTAAAAGCAAATTAATGTCGAGTAAAAAAGCTCCTAATGAAATGGTGCTTCATTTTGTTATTAAATACTCATTTAAATGACTGCAGCTCCACTGGTTAATTGCTCCTGGTTTTCACTAGTACAGGTGAGGAGAGAATTGGTTCCAAAGTATCATTTTAAATAGTTTTATTTCAACAGTATTTTGAAAATTTCCATTAAAGTCAAGGAATTTTGTAATATTTGGGATCATCTCTTCTGTCTTTATGATAACCACGTCTTGTTGGTGAACAGTTACAGAACAGATTTTGTTCTGTATGCACTTTTTCAAAAATTGTTAAGCTATTTGTGAAGAGCTTTTAATAAAATGGCACATATTACCTAAAATACATTTTTTAAATCTCCATTTTAAATATTCATGATAGAACATAGAGAAATATTTAATGCTTCATTCAGGGCTAGGCTTTCTTTTTACTAGGTAAACATTTGACTCCAATGTAGGAATAAGATTTTATCTGTTTTGCTGAGTTGAATCTATCCGGAAAATCTCCATTCCCTTCCAGTCACAGAGGTGAGTCTTATAAAATCATCTTACCATTCTGGCATGCTTGTATTCTTATCTCATACAGGGTGTAGGGATCTAGGCCATCGACAAAAGCAAAATGTGCGTGTCCTACTGGCTTCACCAGTAGAGTGGGACTGCTCGCATTTAGTAAGATGTTGTATTCCAAAGGCACCCTGGCAATGAATATCCCTGTTGTGAAACAGAGGAGAACTAGCGATTATCTGAAATAGTAACAACAGTGCAGGACCACTTCAAAGAGGCATTCATCATATGCAATTTTAAATGTAAGCCCCCTCTGGAGGTTTTACCTACTGCCTCTTTTGGAAACTATAACCATTTAAATATAAACTGAAACAGATCCATCTGCAGATCACAACTGGAAGACAGACATTACAGCTCCCAGTTAAAAATCAAACCTCAATTCAGTTAATGCCTGTGTTGCAATTTCTACCTCTGGGAAGAGTGACCTTATGACTGGGAATGAGGCAGCTTTTATTTCATTATTTTGAGGGGCCACAGATACTAAACACTGCTGTTTCAATATAGAGTCATATGATCAAAAGCAGCAATTGCCACCATTCAGCAAAGTATCACTTTTTAGCCCAGCAGCAGTAACTGAGTGTATGTTCTTAGCCTGCTTTACCAATAAAGTACAATACACCAGCCTGAACCAAGAAACACATCATTTCAACTGATATAAAAACAGTTTAGTTTTTGCTGAAGAAAAACCCTCAATTTTTACTATTTTGTTTTAATTCAGACATTTCCTCCATGAATTCCTCTTCCCATGCTGTCAATTCCTAATTCTCAATTTTTGTTAAGAAACTGAAAAAATCACTTTCTCCACAAGAACAAGATAAGCCATCTGCCATCCCCTCAGAATGATCAACAGTGGTTCCTGGATCTTCTCTTGTTTCCTCCCACATGACTTCTCAAGGGGGTGGGGTTGGTTGGTTTGATTTGGTTTGGGTTTGTAATTAGGAAATGGGCTGTAGGCTTTTTAATTTTTGTCCATTATAGACTGTTCTATGCAGACAGCAGCAATTTCATAAAACAAAGAGACTAACCAAAGAAGAGTGTGAGTCAAGATGTATCTGATTAGAAAGAGCAAATTTCTCTTTCAACACACCACCTACTTCAGATGTCACAGATAAGTCTTTGTGATTGCACCAAGAACCAGATACCTATGAGCAGTTCTGAGACTTGTCCAGATCTTGACAATGTTTCCATTTGTAACTCTGGAAAATAACTTAATTCTTTCTCCTAATTGTGGTTTTGGTCCTTTTCTGATAATCTACATTGATACTACTACCCTGAAGCTACAAAGAGGATTTTTTTCCACTGTTGTGCATCTTTTAGATTTTTTTTTTTAGCTAAGTATGTATGTGAATATGCATATTAACTGAAAAAAAAGTTTACAAGAAATCTGAGAGATTTCAAGTTTATTTGTGATACTATAAACAACTGAGGTACTTTGGAAGATCAGAAAAATCTTTGAAATACCAAGTTTTTACAATTCTCAGAAGAAAAAGAGGACATAAAATCCCAAAGAAATAAGATGCTGCTGCCTCACTACATGCTAGACAAAGGAAATGCTGTTACACTAAAAAGCTGAAAAAACAGCCCTGAAGAGGTGGCATGACTTCAATCTTATTCAACTGCTCAGCCTAGAAGAAGAAAAGATTCTATTAGTCATTGGAAGAGGTGAAAGGGGAAGGAGAGAGAAAGTGCAAAAATCCCACTGTAAAATTTTCCTTTTTCAGTGTAAAAGTTTCAAGGAAAACACCAAGATCTAATCATTAAGAATGGAAAAATAGAAATACAATTTGTAAAGTTGTGCAGGATGTTAGAGTAACTTTTGAGAGGTGATCTTGAAGTAGCTGGCTTCTGCAACAAAGAAAATTATCCTTTTTTTTCTGTGATATATGGAAGATGAGCTATATTATTACAGCTAAACTACCTTTTTCTTTTTTTGTTGTTTGTTTTGTTTTGTGGTGGGGTTTTTTTTGTGTGTGTGTGGGGGGTTTTTTGTTTGTTTGTTTTTTGTTTTGGTTTGGTTTTAATAATTGGACTACCTGTAAAGGACACAACTGAAGATCCAAAAGTAAGAGCATGAAATGGTACACCTTTTTTTTAATCTCCTAGTTAAGGTCCCCTCCCACAGTCCTGATAACAAACCAGACATTTCAGCCAGAAAAACCTACTATCTTATGAAAGGGACACATAATTCACTTTTGTGCATCTGATCAGTGCATTTATTCTAGGCAAAATTCACCAAAACCCTTTGAAATTGGAACTATTTAGAATGCTTGATTTCCCAAGGAAGATTAAATACCAACAAGGACAGCTGAATCCAGCCATCAATATGCAGCAAAGGACACTTATTTTAAAATAACTGACTTATCCATGTCCAACATTCAGTCCATAGCAGAAATGTGAAACAACCCCAAACAACCAAAACCCCAAAATCTTAAAATTCTGCTAAATGTTGCAATATATTAGGAGTGATACCAATAATAAATTAGAGAAAAAATAGTCTCAAGAAGTGAACATGAAATTGTAAATAAAACCAAATAAACATATTCTGAAAAATGCCAATATCAAATCCTTCTACAATCTGATGAAACTCATCAAATACTAGGATCAAAAGATCACTTTATAATCTGAAAAATAAAAAATATATATTCATACAACACAGAAACTTGTAAAAACCCCCTTTCTTCCAGAATAGCCTTCAGCATCTGCAGCCAGTCTGAAACTACTACCTTGTGTGCTCTGATGACTGAAGGAAAAGAAATGGGCATATTTGTTAAAGTCAGCTGGGAAACCACACGACTTGGTTAGTTCCAGAGTTCATAAATTTATGTCAGAATAAAAGGAACCGTAAAAGCACAAGTGAACCAATTTACCCTAAGTGCAAATGGCAGTTTTGTTATTTGGTGTCAAAGTTACCATGAGCACAATGACAACCTGCCATAACACATTTTCATGTTCACTAAAGAACAAGGATTTAGTTGGTTAATATTCCCAGCAATACTCTTTTTCATAATTTACAACAACTAGATGCTGATAGGTTATTTAACATTTATGAAGTTAAGATGTAATCAGAAAAACCCTGATTATCTTTACAAATAAAAAAGTTAAATTATTCCACTTTTTTTTCTCTGCGACTTCATTTCACAGCAGGTGCACATTTTGCAATGGGACAAGTCAATCAAACTAAACCTTGTTTTTTTGTGGGCATATTTGGATAACATTTAATGGACGATTCTGTGCTAAACTCTGCAAATTAGGGTTGACAGCTCTGTGTACTTCAAAACTAGGGTAGGTAAAAATAGAATTTGCAGCACAGGATGCTTAGAATTGGGGGGAAAAAAGCCACAGTCTGTTTTACAGACTGGTCACCAAAAATCTGTTTGAAGTCAGTTGCTGAAAATTTGTTTAATGTGAAACCAAATCCCAATTATAGCAAAATAGACGAACAGTTTCACTTATAGTAAACAAATACTAAAATAACAATGTCATATATTTTATTTTAAAACAGTATTTTAATATTTAACTTCATAAAATAAAACAATTTATTTGGCTTCCTGAGATTAAGCATTTACATTAAGCTTCAAATTCCCAGATATCTCATTCTGGTTGTATCAAGTATTCTCAACAAGACTGGAGACAGCAACAGCTGGAGATGCTAACTGCTTTCAAGATGCAGAACTTTGGACACTGAATTTGAAAAGCTTGTACTATAGTGATGTGGAGCAAACAATTTACATGAGAAAACAAAAATGAGGAAATGTAACATTGGCTTAGCAGAAGTCAGAAAAATTTGTTAGGCCACCAGTTAAGGAGAAACCAGTTTAGCTGGGGAAGCTGAGACAAAACTAAGAGACAAATAAATGTAATTCAAATACCAAATTTGGTCCCAAGAAGTATAAAGTAGGAATCCAGACATGTTACGTAACTTTCACTCTAACTGATAAACAATTGATTCACTCTAACTGATAAACAATTGATAAGCATCCACCAGTGGTAGATGAAGTACAGTGTTAAAACATGATGAAAGAAGACATTTTAATCCAGATGATCATTAACATATGAAGCAAGGAGCAGAGGACAGGATTCTCTTTGGAGCATGTTCAGATTTCATGGTATCACTAGCAGCAACTGAAGATATCTAGAAGAATCAGGCCCCCAGTGAGAACCAGTGGGGTTGTCAATGCGTTGAAATGCAGGATGGCTACCTGCCAACCTATCAATAACATTTATGAATATGCCTTGAGAGAATTATGTGGTGGGTTTTTTTCCATTCAGCTTTTCTGCTTCTATCCATGGTGTTAATAGTTGTTCCATAATAATTGTAACATATCCTTCTCTAGCGTATCAGTGAAATGTAGCGTACCTTTGAGGTCTGTGCACTGAGGCAATGCCACACAAGATAATGGGATACCTATTTCAGAAAATAAAGTCCTATTTTCCATAGTGAGTGAGGTGTGTCAAATATTTTTTCTGAATCCATCACTTTAACCACTACTCGGCCACCTTGTTATTTAGCTAAGTCAGGAAGTTTGAAACGCTATGTATCTCTAAAGTCACAAGGTTTAGATCCATTACGGATGTTGAAACATTATAATTGAAGCCACCCAAAAGGAAGGTCTGTGCAATATGATGCCCATAATTAATCCTGACGGTGATTATTTGATCCAAATTTATTACAGCAGATAAGAAGATGAATGCCCAAGCATCCCTGATATCCACAGACAGGAAGTCACTATGACCAACTACCCTCTCATCAAAACTTGGTTAACAAAAAGCATTTTTTTCATGGAGACTGTACCAATTAAAGCAACTGTCTCATCCAAGAGTGACTGCCAAGCCTGACAATCCTTACAACAAATGGTGCATTCTGTGTTTATAAGGGATACCTATATTACCTCAATATAGCCTACTGTGAAACAAGGATTCATACAAAGAAAAAACTAGATCAGAAAAAAAAAGTTACTCCATGCACAATGACATAAGGATGAAAAGTTGTAGACTCTTTAGGATAATCCTATGAAGCTGGGGAGGTATGTGGACACAGATATCTGTATACATCTGTTAATGGGATGTATGCCATTCCAAAGATCAGAACCTCCAAAATAAACCTCCATCTGCATCCCCCACAGTCTTCCTCTGGGGGAAAAAAACAGAATGAGCAAGAACCAGGATTATGAATGTCAAGAATTAATATTCTAGCTTCTGCCTACACCTATGTTCTGTACACAGGGTTTCTTTTAGTAATAATAATGGTGGCATTTAGTAACATTTCTCTGCCGTTAGTACTCCCCATTCCTGTAAGACCAGCTAGTGGCTCTGAGGTGCTATAATAAAAGGAACAGCAATCTACTGCACCACACAGACACACATAAGTCCATGGGACGAGATGGGATACACCTGAGGGTGCTGAAGGAGCTGGCTGGGGTGCTCGCCAAGCTGCTTTCCATCATTTACCAGCAGTCCTGGCTGACCAGGGAATTCTCGACAGATTGGAAATTGGCCAATGTGACGCCCATCTATAAGAAGGGTTGGAAGAATGATCCGGGAAATTACAGGCCTGTCAGCTTGACGTTGGTGCCCAGGAAGCTGATGGAGCAGTTCACCCTGAGTACCATCACACAACACGTGCAGGACAACCAGATGCTCAGGCCCAGTCAGCACGGGTTTATGAAAGGCAGGTCCTGCCTGACAAACCTGATCTCCTTCTACAACAGGGAGACCTGCTTATTGCATGAGAGAAAGGCTGTGGGTGTTGTTTACCTTGACTTCAGTAAGGCCTTTGACACCATTTCCCACAGCATTCTCCTGGTGAAACTGGCTGCTCACAGCTTGGATGGGCACACGCTTTGCTGGGTAAAAAACTGTCTGGATCGCCAGGCCCAAAGAGTTGTGGTGAACGGAGTTAAATCCAGTTGGCGGCCTGTCACGAGCAGTGTCCCCCAGGGCTTGGTGTTGGGGGCACTCCTGTTTAACATCTTTATTGATCATCTAGACGAGGGGATCGAGTGCACCCTCAGTCAGTTTGCAGATGACACCAAGTGGGGTGGGAGTGTTGATCTGCTGGAGGGTAGGGAGGCTCTGCAGAGAGACCTGGACAGGCTGGAGCCATGGGCTGAGGCCAACTGGAGGAGTTTCCATAAGGGCAAATGCCGGGGGCTGCCCTTGGGCCACAACAACCCCCAGCAGCGCTACAGGCTTGGGGAGGAGTGGCTGGAGAGCTGCCAGTCAGAGAGGGACCTGGGGGCGTTGATTGACAGCCGGCTGAACAGGAGCCAGCAGTGTGCCCAGGGGGCCAAGAAGGCCAATGTCATCTTTGCTTGTGTCAGCAATAGCGTGGCCAGCAGGGACAGGGAAGGGATCTGACCCCTGTACTCGGCACTGGTGAGGCCGCCCCTCGATTCCTGTGTTCAGTTTTGGGCCCCTCACTCCAAAAAGGACATTGAATGACTCGAGCATGTCCAGAGAAGGGCAACGAAGCTGGTGCAGGGTCTGGAGCACAGGTTGTACGGGGAGCGGCGGAGGGAACTGGGGGGGTTCAGTCTGGAGAAGAGGAGGCTGAGGGGAGACCTCATCGCCCTCTACAGCTCCCTGAAAGGAGGTTGCAGAGAGCTGGGGATGAGTCTCTTTAACCAAGTAACAAGTGGTAGGACAAGAGGGAATGGCCTCAAGTTGTACCAGGGAAGGTTTAGAATGGCTCTTAGGAAGTATTTCTTTACAGAAGTGGTTGTTGGGCATTGTAACGGGCTGCCCAGGGCAGGGGTGGAGTCCCCATCCCTGGAGGGGTTGAAGAGTTGGGTTGACATAGCGCTGAGGGATCCGGTGTAGTTGAGAACTGTCAGTGTTAGGTTAATGGTTGAACTGGATGATCTTCAATGTCTTTTCCAACCTAGATGATTCTGTGAGTCTGTTTGCTTTCCTGTCTACCCAACAGGGGCACTGTATGAAAAACAATCCCTCATTCATACTTAAAAACTTAAATGATTGCCTCCACAATGAGAAGGCAGAGAGGAAGGGATTGAGTCACCAAACACCCATGAAAGCAAGACAATTGTTCAAGTTTCATCCCAATACCTGAGAAGAAGGACGTGTGCCTTCCCCTGACTGAGGAGAATGATTCCCATAGCTGTGTGAATACAACAACCCTGCATTCTCCACAGAGCCATAAGGTCCAGCCTCTTCCTCACCCCTCTGATCATGTGGTTTCAGGAACACATAAAGGTTTGCACACACAATCTTAATTACAACATAACCAAATGTACTACACAGAGCCTGATTCTCCTTGCAGGCTTGTAACCTACTGTGAGTAACAGGAATTCAAGCAGCTGGAGAAGAAAAGGTCTAGAACAACAAGGATGAGCTTTTCTGGGAAACACCCCACTCTTCACAAGTCTATGCTATTTCAGTATATTCTTATGTTTTAAATCTATTTATAATGTTGCTGAATATTTTGTACCTTAAATTATATTTATTATCAAAACTATAATACAGCATGAGTCACTTTCCAATAAAACCAACTGTAGATTATATGCCATTCGAATTCACCTGCCTCTGCTGGGTTCTAAATCCTTTCAGGCAGTAGGGGGAAAAGTTTAATTTAAGATTTTAATCTTTTTCATACATTATAGCATTTCTATAATGGATTTTGTGCTTCTGAAAACTAAAAGATTGACAGCTCAGGGTATTATAGATTTATTAATCATTGCTTAAATGGGTAGGGTGAACGCTGCTAAGCACTGCCACAATACTTGCGATCCCAGGCTTGAAGGCAAAATACTTTTTCTAGGTGACTTTATTTTTAATGCCAATTGACTCTACTGCGACTGCTATGCAAGGAAAGAACATCTTAAATAATTAGGAAGAGGAGATATCAAAAACTTCCTTGAGTTCATGGATAAAACATATTTTTATTTCAATATGAAACATCTGAAGTTTCTAAAAAAAATGACCTTATTTCAACTGAAACAAACAGTATCTAGAAACTGGAAACATCTTGCTGGAGAGGAACTATTCTAGATGGAAAATTGTTCATTTACAATGCTCTCATTGTCCCACAATGACTACAGCATATCATTTTTATAACATCAGTAAAGTATACCAATCACTTAAGCTATGATTTATATTAATGAAACAGCACAGTCTCTCATATAAAAAGATGCTATTATTCAATTATTCCTTCTTAGTCTACCTCTGTAGCAGGCCAAGACAACCTGATGATATTCAGGAGAAGAGTAAGAAGAGGAAAAAATCTTCTGGGCGTTTGCTGAGCCACCCCCCTGCAAGGTAACATGTCCACATAACATTATGGTGCTCTGGAGAATAAAATTTACTCAATCATCTCAAAGCTAGCACAGGATCTCTCTGTCACACCCTTACACCTTTTGTTAAAGAAGCTCAGCATTGTATACCTGCAGGAAAACTGGATATTTTAATTGCCAGGATAGCTAGCAAGACATCATCAACCCAAAAGGCTGGCAGGTTTCCCTGTTGATAACTCAGGTTAGTCTGAACAGAAGGGAAAACTTCTTTTCAGTGTAATTGTTTTTGGGTTTTTTTTTGTTTGTGTTTGTTTTTTTTTTCTTAATACTTGCACTCAATAATAGTTTACAAGAACAAATTAACATACGGATTTTTGATCAGCTAATCCTCACAATACCCATGTCAAGTATATAGGTCAATATTATTAAAATAATAGGTCGCTAGGAAACAGCAGCTTTAGATATTGGTTATTTAAATCACACAAAGACTAAAAACAAATATGAAGAATAAAAATATCAGAATGATTCAGCTGCCTGCCTGAATATACTAATTTTCCATCCTTTCATTTTGCTACAAAGTACTACATAGAAATAATTTTTTACCTGGCACGTCCCAAGCTAGAAATATAGAATATGCATCAATTACTGTGACATTATATGGGACATGAATTTTCTCTGGTGTTTCTACTGGTGTTTGTATAACATATTTATCACTAGTGTTTCTGCCACCCCAAGTGCTGGCTTCCAGCTGGTAAACATATCTGCGCAAACACAAAAAGATCAGAAGACACTAGGTTAGAAGCTTTAGGCATATCAGTAATAGAACATTTCCATTTTCACCAGTTTAAAGTGAATAGACTATACAAAGAGTATTACAAAAATTGCATTAGTGAAGATTCTCACCTTTAAGTTTTGTTAATGTAAGAAAAGTAACTCATTATAATTTTAATACTAAAATTCACATTAGCTTACATGAGAGAGAAGTATTGACTGAAAAAGTGTCAAAACCGATTTCAGAATGGTCTCTATAAAAATATCATCAGCTGCTACTTTTAGGCGAGTATGTTCAATATGCACAGAAACATTATAAACCATGTGCAGTGTTGTCTATCATTTAAAGACTTACATTTTTCGAGGTATATACCATGAGGGAAAAAAACACCTAACGAGCCACCAACCACCACCCAAGGAAAGAAAAAAAGAGCCTCCCTTTCTTTGAATCAAAATGACCTATTCTCGGAAAAGGAAAAAAAAGATAAATCCTTTGATTAAGGCTTTCCAGCATTTGAAAGCCTCCTAAAATTTCTCTACCCATTTTTCAGTAATGAATTAATCTTGTAAGAGATTTTTCTTTTGTTAAAAAAGTAACTTAGATTTTGCACATTTCATAAACACCCATAGATCTATTTTGATGACCTTTCACATATTACCAGAGCTCTTTGACATGCCTTACCTACTGTTAGGCTGCAGGTTGACATCTGTGAAATTCAGGTCTGTATTGCCACCCAGGAAAATCTGTTCTCCATCACGAAAAAGTCGATACTGAGTAATGAGTCCATTTGGTTTCTTTGGTTCACTCCAGTAGATTTCCACTTCTGTTGAGCTGACTATTATATGATGAGGTTTTGGCCATACCCCTATTAACATCACAATGACATTATTTTAATTTTATGACAGAAACATAAAGGGGTTTTTTTTCCTTTCTCACAGTTTGTGCTGTTGCTCTCAGCAATGTAATGAAAGCATAAAACATTGCCAGAGATAATGACAGAAATTAACACACTTTCTGTATTTATCCTATATCAAATGCAACCAACTAGACAACATACAGATTAATGGAGGACAAAGCCAAAGGCTGCCACCTTTACGTGCCCAGTTCTCTCTGCATATTTATTTGTGCTTTAAAAATACGCATCTGCTAATTCAGACCTTGCTAACTTAAAGATGAACTTGGGGAAACTGTCACAAAAGAAAGTAGAAATGCAGTGCAAGGCAAGTCAGTATAAAGAGTGTGTTAAGATACAAATACTCTGAGAGACAGATTCTCTTTTGGAAATTTACACGATAGCATGACGGATGGCAGTGGAGTTTTGCACCTTGTTAAACCATCAGAAAATACAACTGCATATGACCATCTCTTTGCAGTTCTGCCTTTTTGTCTTACCAAGAGGAGCAGCTTGTGAAGTTTGACCTGAACGTGGTTTGCTAGAAGCACACCCTGCAGCTGTGCATGCAGTAAGCATGAAGCTGTAACTAGTGTATGGCTGCAGACCTAGAAAGAGCAAACAGAGGTTAGACTGAGATGACATCAGGCATCCCAAGAATTGTATCACTATATAGAAAGTTACTGGACTTAAAGTTAACTTATTGTTTTTTTAGCAAACAAAAATATGAACCATTCTTATTTTACATCTGAGTAATACTGAAATGGTGAATTCTTGTTAATTTAGATATATATCTTCTATTAGTTTAAAAGACCTGACAAAATAATTCAGACTGAATGTGCGTCTGTGCTGAAATGGATCTATGGATGCCACTCTATATAGACATATCTGAATTAGCTACAAGTCAATTAACTTAGATGGCACTTGCAGCATAGTAACAACAGGCCAGATCTCAGCCCAGATTACCATCTGAAAATTTACCCAGTCTCTATGGAGTTTTGTTGTTTGTGTTTTGTTGTTTTTGTTTCACTAGGTTTTTTAACCTGTGTTTCTGTCTGTACAAAATGGTTAAAAATTAACTGGAAATCAACTAAACATTCTTGGCACAGGCTTAATCCCCATCACTGGTAATGGCCATAGAAATGCAAAGGTTTCCAAAAGAAAAGCACCTGAAAGTATAATTGCTTAGAGTTTTGGACTCGAAAAGCTGAAGAGTCTGTAATGTTTTGAAAATTCATTACAAATATATTTGCAACAATAAGAAAAGATAATAAAACATTCTCTTACATGAACATGAAATCTTCTACTATACTACAAACAAGTCCAAAGACTTCCCAACTTGAGAAGACAAGTCCCTTCCCAACTCCTATTTGTTCATTTTTTTCCCCCTACTTTTTCTTATTGGTTACAAGATTTTACTATAAATGCTATAAAGCAGTTAGAAACAGGACTGAAATCCAAGCCCTCCCCATTACAAGATATCAATTTTAGTTACTTGTAATTTTTAAAACATTTTTTCAGCTCAAACCTTCTATGCTGGACATCCTTGAATGAGACAAAAAGAGAATATATTACTGTGACCTTTCCTCAGAAATTTTCAAACATCTTTGTGCTGTGTGTCAGTGACTTCAGATTTGACATCAAATTGCCTGCAGCTCAAGAATTTGACTTTAGGACTCTTCGTAAAATTGTACCCAAAATTTGTCTAAGATACTAAACTTCTAAAATAGCCACTTCTGCACACTCATTAAAGGCTTCTTACAGTTAAATCATTAAAGATGCCGACCTCTGCAAGCCTATCTGGAATACCTCAGAGCTCAGCTTTAAACTGATCAGACTGCCCCTTAGAACATGCTCCAGTCCAGGTTACAGGGTCTTTGCTAAACTACTCTTTTGGGTATTTCTGAAAGTTGTTCTTAAAAATTAAAATACCAGGCACAGGCCCTGAAAACCTCTCTCTTGCATGTTTTCAAGGACCCTCATGTTAATTACATCATAATACATTAAAAAAAAGAGTTCCTGTTCCTGAATGCAAAAGGGACAAACGGTACAACAAGAAGCAACAAATTATACACAAAAACTCTGAGAAAATATTAAGACTGCAAAACTGAACACTCATAAACTAGGAAATCCTAGTGTTAGGATACTGTACAATACAAATTGAGCACCT